AACGCCTTTGGACCCCTGGTGAGGCTGGGTTATCGTAGCCCCGGGTTTCTCTGTGTACTTTGCCCCTTATTGAGATTCTCCTGCTTCCCAGGCTGCGGCGTTCAGGGCTGTGGCCCCGCACCTATACGCCCAGCGCGCCTCGACTCACACATCCCTGCACGTGTCGCTGGAACCCGCCGCTTTCGCTGCCGCACCAGGATGGGAGCGGGACAGGTGCGCGGGACGGTGCGCTCCCCACTGTGGCTTGTGGCATACCAGCAGTGCTACTGTCACAGCTGGGCGGCCCCGAGGGCCAGCTCGGGGTCAATTGTCCTTCGTTGGCCTCTGGCAATGAGACTGCACAAAGCACGGTAGCTGGCGCCACTGCCCTGCGTTGTGCTGCCACCCAATGTTTTGGTGCAACCCAGTGCCTCCTCTCGTATATTTGGAATGCCCCTTCTGGGACCATTTCTTGAAACGCAGGCTGGCAGGCGGCACATTTTTTCGGCGCAACACTCACAACCATCAGTGTCAACTTGCGTGTCATGATTTGACTCAAATGATGGCGCAGCACAAACGGCAGCGAACGCACCTGCAGTGGCTGAGACCATCCCCGCCCCTTCCTGTTCACTGTAAATCTGAAATCATGGAGCTGTCGATTATTGTTTTCCTCTTTACACCCTTATGCACCTGTCACCTGCATTCCGCCCCAGCTGCTGGCCAGCATGCCTCCCGCCCAAAAACAGCCAGCGGAGACTGGCTACGCTCAAGCGCTAAAAAGACCAGTCGACCGTTGCTCACACACTTCGCCAAAGCTGATGACAAAGGCTGCACTGGCGCCCACTGCTGGGTACAGCACCCAGCAGAGCAAGCTGCACCGACATAGAGCGCCACTGCTGATCAGGCTGATTTCAAAGTGTAATCTCCTCAGCCACTCTCACAGCGCTGCGTGCACCCCAGTTGTGATGACACCACCACCACGCAGGCAGCTGTGATCAACATCTCGTATCAACTCAACCAGCACATGCAGAGGTTCAAGCTTCATGTGTCAGGGTTCGCTCTCATATGCATGTAGAGTGCTGCTCTACAAAGTGTGTGCTGTTGTCAAAGACAGACAAAACTGAGAGTGATGGTGGCCGACTCTGTTGATCCCTCCACGCAGCAGACTGCTCATCATTACAGGGTGCAAAACCCCGTGCTTGTTGCTAGGGTCTAGACGCGGCACTGTTGCGTCGCGCCAAAGACGTGGGGGCAAATCTCATCACTGGCAGGCCATAAAATATGCGGTGCAGTTTTGACGGAGCCAGCTGTTGCTGGAGCCCTTGCGTGCGTCAGCAAAACAACTCGCCGTGCAGCACAAAAGTGGGGACAAAAGCATGCATGCTGGCACAATCATGCATTTAGAGAGCCTAAGGCCCTGAGAGGTAGGGGATGAAATGATGGTACTGGCAATAATTGCCCTGGCAAGCATGTCATCGCCATGCACAAGCATAACGGACAAGCGGCGGCATGTTTGTGACTCGCCGGCGTACGCGTGCAGACGCTAAAAAGAGGCATCATCAATGCCGTCACTAATGCGTCCCCAAATTATTGTCACAAACTCTTCATCATCATAATAGCAATGATGCTTGCACCCAGACACGGCCCGCAGAGCTGCCGCGCCACGCTTCCCAATCCCACAGCCGCTGACACGCAGGGTCGTGACTTGCGTCATGCCCGCCAGCGCCAGGGCACCCTCGTCGTCGATGCCATCATTGTTGCCTACGTCAAGGTACACCAGGTCAGTCAAACACGCAAGGGCTTTGACACCACGCGTGCCGATGTTGGTTTCCAACAAGCAGAGCTTGGTGAGTGCGGTCAAACAGGTCAAAGCGGCTGCCCCGGCATCGCAAATGTCGTTGTGACTCAAGTTCAGGTGGGCCAGGCTGTGCAAACCGGCCAGCCCGCAGACGCCCGTTGAATCAATTTTATTTTTCCTAAGATCAAGATACATTAGCCTCGGCAAGCAGCTCGCGAAATCAACAGTGTCCAAATTTCTTGCATGGAAGTCCCATCGACTGCGTGGGCAGATCGACAGCGCGCGCAATGCCGTCGCACGTTTCACCAGCGGGGTGGCGCATGTTTCAGACCGGTTGCAGTCGTCAAGAGTCACGCAGTGCAGGTGGAGGCGCGTAAGACATCGCAGCTCGTCAATGATGTCCTCAGAAAATACGTCACCAACCGTGATATTTCTGAATGTGAGGGCCTCGAGCCGCGGCAGCACAGTGAGGTAGCAGGGACAAGGGAGATAAGTGTCCCGCAGGTGCAACTCACGCAGGCCCGTCAGTGCAGACAGGGCCGCAAAGTCGTCTGGCACAGTTGCAGGCTTCAACCAGCGAATTAAGAGAGTCTCTACCGCACCCAGGCGGGGCAATGCCCAGGCCGCCTCCTCGCCCCGTGCGACCGACGATGCGTACTTCGCCGCTGCGGCTGCAATTACCATGTCAATGTCGCGGGAGCTAAGGCCTGTGTCTATCGACAGCCTGGTTATGCGTCCGCCATGTTCCATGAAATCTGCGGCGCAAGCCAGGTGGATTCCCAGGGGAACGCTGGAGCGCAGGAGAACGCTGCTGCATGCCGCAAGGGCAGCGCGTCGCGAGGCGCGGCACACCCTGGACAGCGCCTTGCGGGGCTCGAGCTCACAGAGCCGTGCGACAAGATCTAATGCTAAAGAGGGTGTGCTGAAGAAGGCGCTGGCGAAGGACGAGGGTGCGCGGCAGCTGAGATCACGCGCCATCTTGTTGCTGCAAATTTTTGATGGGGATCCCTGCACCGGCAAAAGTAGGCACGACAACGAACGGGAATTGTCCATCATCAATCCGTGTACATACGGTATACCAGCTAACGGTACTGTATGAGATCAGTGCGGTACCAGCAGAGCACACGTGCAGCTCAGCAGCATGAGTCAAGAGTGGCGAGCAGGGTGTTCACTGCGACGGCCCAGTCTCTATGGAGAGGGCAACAAAGCCTGACATGCCACCCCCCCAGGTGCAGCATGACGATCAGGGCTACACCTGCTCCAGCACTTCTGCGGCCCCCAATTGAATACAGCTTGGCTCCTGGCGCCACTGCTGCAGAGCACACTTGGTCGCCAGGGCTGCAGAGGTCCAGGGTGTGCAACAGCTGTGTGTGTGCAAATACGGATTTTGTTTGTGGTTGGCTGCCTATCTCTGACAAGCCCCCGCTTTCGCAACCGCATGGGCACGCAAGCCCTCATCCCCCAAGTTGGCAGCGTCAACGCCCACCCTCAACAGGATGGACACGCTGGGTACAGCCCTGGCCTGGGCGATACAAATGCTGCGATTGATTGTTGATAGCTGGTCTAGCGGCTGATGTGCTAGGTGGGAGCGCGGGCGTTTGGCGAGAGTGAGAGGGTGTGCGGGGGGGGGGGGGTAACCAGCAGCCCAGGGTGACATGCCACATCGCTCGAGGATATCGCCACTGACCTCTCTGCTGTGACCGCTGCTTATTCAACAGCCGCAGGCCGCAGCTCAGCATCATTGGGCCCGCCTGCAAGATGGCCATGCCGCTCAGATCAGGCAGCAAACTCCCCCTCCTTGGGTGCCTGCCGCCCCCGCCTTGATCATGGCGACGACGGCGCCCCCTTGCTCACCCACTGCGCCCCGTCCCTTGATTTTCCATGTGTTGCCAGGCCTGCGGTCCCGCCTGCAACAACTTTCACAGTAGCAGCAAACGCAGGCTGCAACACATCGCAGCGGCTGACCCATGTCCCAGCACTACGGGCGAAGCGCCTCCCAACCTGCGCCCAAGCCGCACTCATGCTGCAGTCCGGCCCAGGTGCCAGGCGCGGTTGTGAGAGCTGCGCACGAGGTGGGTGGGTCAGCCATGGGTGTGCACATGAGTCTGTATGGCGGGAGCAGTGAGAGCTAGCCGCGCCATCTGGTTGCCAGCTGTCAGTCATTTGTGCATGTTTTACAAGCAGACCCCAGGGTCCCGCTGGGTGGTACCCCAAACAGGTTCCTTCGACGCCCACCCCCCCCTTGCCTCCACCCACACGCATCTGAAAGCCAACCCGCACAACCCATGCTTGCACTTGCAGCGCCCTGCAAGCCTTGCTTTGTCAGTCATCACTTAGTCAACCCTGGACAAGGGCCATGCCCTGGTCAAGACAGTGGCGTCATTAGTCAGGTGAGCGGGCCCGCGGCTTCGCCCACGCTCGCACGCGTGTGTGCATCCTTGCAGCCGCAGGTGCGGCTGCAGTTGGGGTGTACGTGTGTGTGTGTGTGTGTGTGTGTGTGCGTGTGCGTGTGCGTGCGTGCGTGCGTACGTGCGTGCGTGCGTGCGTGCGCGCGCGCGCTCTGGCCATGCGTTACCTGTGTGGGTGCCTTGTTCATGTGTGCCAGTCCTGCGGTGACGAGTTGGGCCCAGGCTGGCGATGTAGACGTGCGGGAGGAACGCTAAGGGGGGCTTTTGTCCCATTCATTTTGGCGTCTGGAGCAGCCACATGCCCCCTGCTCCCAAAAACAAACAATCTACGCCCCCCCCTCCCCACCCCATCTCGCAAACTTCCCCTGCGTATCACTTGCCCCATCGCGAGCAGGGCGGCCGACGCGGAACACTGCGCGATGCTGCTCGGCGCGTCAAGTGGGGCGTGGGCCTGCTGCAGTCCTCAGGTGAGCTAGGTGGCGCCGCGAGATCCTGGGCTCCTGGCTGGTCTTCTTCCATGTGCTCGCGCCTGGCAGCAGCAGGAACGATTCAAGGGCGACAACCCGCTGGTTGGCAATCAGGGGGTTGCGAGTGGGTGCTTCGCTTCGAAGCAATTCTCGAGGCTGCGGCAGCTATGTCGAGAGGCGGCAGGTCACGCACACCCAGCAAACCCATGCAAGCGCGACCACCAGGCCCATCCAGGCGACCGCTGGCAGCCCACCACGCGCCGCACTTGGCTTGGCAGCACCGCAGGTTGCTGGCAGCCTCGAGGGCGTTCTTGGCAGCGGCCTCAACAGCCCCCAAAGCCCCAGCAGGCGGCAGCCGCAGCAGCGGCGGCGGCAGCGGGAGCGGCGGCGGCGCCAGCGGCAGCAGCTGCCGCCGCCGCCTTCACCGCGCACAGGCCAGGCCCCTCCCAATGTCGCGGCGCCGGCTTGCCACCGCCGCCGTCCGGCTTTGGGCTTTAGGCAGCGACGCCTGTGGTAGTTGGCGCTACTCTGGTGCAACGCAGGGTCATTATGTGCCAATCACTGCCCACCCCCCCTGATTCTGCTGCATGCAGGTCGCAGGCGTCGTCTCGCCCTTGGTGTCCTCCAGCTGAGCTGGCCGTGGGGAGCGCTTGTTGCCAATCAGGGTTGGCGGGTCAGGGCACAGCATCCGCGCAGAGGCCAGGGTGGGCCGGGGATCTGAATGGTGAGATTGGCGCGAAACGCGGGCAGTGAGCGGGGGACTGAAGTGCATCAATCAAAGGGCGGCAAGGTGTGACGCTACTCGCGGGCGCAGGCGTGGGCGCCACAGGTGGGCACGGCTGTTCCGCAAAGCCACGTCCTGCCAGTCCCTGCTGCCGTGCATTTATTTGCTAGGCAGCAACTAATTACGAAGACATGATCACAATCAACAGCCCAGGCAAGGAAAGAGCGGAGGGGGGACTGGTTTAGTGGAGAGCGCCACGAGCATCAGGCCCCACTGCGGCTGTGTTGCGCCAGGAGTTTCGAAGGCTGCTCAGCCAGGTAGTCTTTTGCCTCTGCCCATCCCAAAAAATACATTTGCAGGCTGCCCCTGCCAGGCTGGGGTGCGCGCCAGCAATTGCGCAGGTTCAGGCTTGGAGGCTTGGTTTGTGCTGGCAGAACCCGAGTGGGAGTGCTGACAATCGGGCGGCCTTCCGACTTTGGAGGGCGAACTTAATCCCCTCCAAGCAGACGACTTTGACATTCTGGTGAGCAGGCTGATGTGTTGATGGTCCGGGTGTTGGCAGCGGTTCCTCGGATTTCCTGCGGTCCCAGCCTTGCGCGGTGCCTATCAACTGCCGGCCCCTTGAACATTGAATATTGAGACTTGCCCGTTTGTTTAAGTCTCATTTCTGTAAAGTAAAAACGCAATGCAATCACTTCCTGACTGGACGTGCACACATCAAGGTGACCCATAAGAGAGTGCCAGCGTCAGCCTGAGTAGACGAACGAAGGAGAATGGTACAGTATGCAGCAGGCCATTTACACGATACGAGAAGTGCCGCCTTGGACCAACCTTGTCACTGGAAGGCCAGAGGGCCATGAAGCAGTCCTTGTGATCCAGCAAGCTATGACTGGATACCATGCGCGAGCTTAAACACATACATACGCATCTTGCACCACACTGAGAAGAGGCAGGGTGAGAGACGCAGGCTCACATGATGGTGCGCAAGGAAGGCTTCATGAACACACTCAGAACAGCCCAAACGGAACGTGCAAGCGCGCTGCAGGGAGGTGGTCGTTGATGAGGACAAGCAAGGCTGACGACCATGTGTCGGATGTGTGGCGCAAAGCGGCGCGCCTCCCTAGCGCTGAGGAGAGCCGCAACGCTTGCACGCGGTTAGCAGCCATAAGGCCTGGGTGCCTCAGCACCACCCCACCTCATGTGCATACCAGTGTCAAAAGCAGAGTACGCGTGCTCAGCTCCAAAGGTTGCCCTCAGCGCAGCTTTGCCGCATTTGCCAAAGTCACGGCCGCTCACACAAAGTGCAGTGAGGTGCGTCATGCTTGCTAGCGCCTTGGCGCCCTCGTCATCAATACGCAGGTTGCCCCCCACGTCAAGAGACACCAGGTTGGTCAAACACGCCAGGGCCTTGACGCCGGGCGTGCCAATATTGGTGAAGTACAGGTCAAGCTTCGTGAGCGCCGTCAACGAGGTCAAAGCGACTGCGCCCGCATCATGAATGCCGTTGTCACGCAAGGCAAGGTGCTCGAGGCTGACCAAGCCAGCCAGCCCACACGCGCCTGCTGATGACATCTGACTGCATGCGACCCCAAGGAAGTCGAGGCGTGGCAGGCAGCGCGCGAGCACAGCGGCACTCTCATCCGTCACACGGACCATTTCTTTGTCACGGAAATATTCTGGCGAAACCGACAGGGCACGCAGGCTGGCTGCACGCGCGACCAGCGGGACGGCGTCCAACCGCCCATCGCCGCCGCCTTCCAACCACACTCCATGCAGGTGGAGGCGCGTGAGGCATTGCAGTTCGCCAAGGGTGTCGCCGAGCCGCGGGTCAACCCCGGCGTGGCTGAACCTGAGGACCTCGAGCTGTGGCAGCGCGGTGAGGCAGCTGGGGTCAGGCAGCACCGTGTCCCACAGGTCCAACTCACGCAGGCCCGTCAGTGCAGACAGGGCCGCCATGTCGCCTGGGGCAAACGCGGGCTGCAACCAGCGAATGAAGAGAGTCTCTATCGCACCCAGGAGGGGCAGCGCCAAGGCCGCCTCTTCGCCCCGCGCAGCTGCCAACGCGTACTTTGCCGCTGCCGCTGCCTTCTCCATGTCACCATCCCGGGAGCTAAGGTCTGTGACTACATACAGCCAGCGCATGCGTGCGCCGTGTTTCATGAACACGGCGGCGCAAGCAAGGTGGATGCCCAGGGGAACGCTGGAGTGCACTAAAACGCCGCAGCATGCTGTGAGGGCGGCTCGCCGCGACGCTCGTGACACCCTGGACAGCGCCTTGAGGGGCTTGCGCTCGCAAAGCTGTGCGACCACTTCCAATGCTAAAGAAGGTGTGGTGAAGAAGGCGCCAGCGCATGGTGGAGGTTCGCAGCAGTTGAGATCACCCGACATGATGTCATAGGCTCTGCGTGGATTTATTGATTGCGAGGAGGTGTGAACACTGACGGCTGGGAGTACAGTACAGTGTGATATGATACCGGGTACCGTCAACACGCCAACAAGAACATTACACGTCCGTGAACAGTCCATGAACAATGTCAACGCACCTTACATGTACCATTCAATGCCTGTCGTCCCGGAGATGCCTTTCAAGCCTGATCTGCCCCTGCCAGGTGCAGCACTTGACGATCGCAGCGGCGCGCCCGCCCTGGCAGCGTAGACGCTCAGGATGGACACGCTGCGTACGGCCCGCGCCTGGGTGATACCACGGCTGCGACTGATTGCCGACGACCGATGCGACAGCTGATGTGCCAGGTGCATGCGTAGGCGTCAGGTGAAATTGAGAGGGGGAGCGAGGGCAACGCGGGAGGGCAGGTCACGACCAATTGCATCCGGGGTGGCGTGCGGCATCGCTCGAGGAGCTGCCGCCGACTGCTAGGCTGTGACCTCTGCTTATTTTGTGGCTAGAGGCAACGGCTCAGCCTCGATGGGCCTGCCAGATGGCCATGCCGCTCAGATCAGGCAGCAAACCCCACTTGTGTCGATGCCGCACCGCCTGGATAATGGCAATGACGGCACCCCCTTGCTCACCCGCTGCGCCCCAACCCATGCGACTCCATACGTGACCTTGCCTGCGGTCCAGCCTGCAACCAGATCCACAGCAGCAGCACAGGTTTCACAAGCCACCCAGGCTGCAATACAGTGCAGCGGCTGACCCATCTGCAAGCACTACTGGCAACGCGCCTTCAACCTGCGCCCAAGCCGCACTCATGCTGCAGTCCGCCCCAGCTGCTAGGCATGGTTGTAAGAGCTGCGCACGAGGTGGGTGGGTCAGCCATGGGTGTGCACATGAGTCTGTATGGCGGGAGCAGTGAGAGCTAGCTAGGCCACCCTGTTGCCAGCTGTCAGTCATTTGCACCCACCTTATCCCAAGCACACCCAAGAGTTCCGCTGGGTGTCACCCCAAACAGGTTCCTTTGACGCCCACTCCCCCCCTCTCGCCCACCCACACGCGTCTGAAGCCAACCCGCACAACCCATGCTTGTCCATGCAGCGCCCGCCAAGCCTTGCTTTGTCAGTCATCGCTCAGTCAACCCTGGACACGGGCCATGCCCTGATCAAGGCAGTGGCGTCACCAGGCAGGTGAGCGCGCCTGCGGCTTCGTCCAAGCAATCATGCACAAACGCTCGAGCGCGTATGTGCATCCTTGCGGCCGCAGGTTCGGCTGCAGATGGGGTGTGCTCGATGTGTGTGTGTGTGTGTGTGTGTGTGTGTGTGTGTGTGTGTGTGTGTGTGTGTGCGTGTGCGCACGTGCGCGCTGGCCATGTGTCACTTGTGTGGGTGCCTGGTGCATGTGCGACAGTCTTGTGGTAAAGGGGTTTGCCCCGGCTGGCGATGTAGATTTGCGGCAGGAGCGCAAAGGGAGGCTTTTCTCCCTTACATTTTGGCGCCTGGAGCAGCCCAGCACACCCATCTGCCCCCCGCTCTCACAAACAAACAACAACCTACCCGCCCCCTCCCGATCCCACCCCGCCAACTTTCCTAACACAGCGATGTCCCCACAGCGACAGGGCATCGACACCAGGGGGCTGCGCGATGCCGCTGGGCGCCTAATGTGAGGCGTCGGCCTGCGGCAACGCTCCTGTGAGCTAGTTGGCGGCGCGAGACCCTCGGCTCCTGGCTGGTCTTCGTCCACTCTCGGGCGTGGGAGCAGCAGGATCGGCCTTGGGGCTGCACGCCGCTGGCTGGCAATCAGGCTTCCAGAGTGGATGCTGCGCTTGTGGTCGGCTGCCATCCTTTGCATGT